ATGTTTACAGATAACGGTGAACGGGGACCTGTACACTGTACCGGCCAGCGGAGCTCACGCAGTAGTGTCTTCTGCTGGTGCACACCCAGTACTGGCCTGGAGGGACGGAGGCTGCATCTACCTGCTCGGCTCCTCCAAGATCGCGGTATGTCATTAGGTCTCAAAAGTGACTGTACAAACATGTTCAGTGTTCCATAGTTTAAAGTACTAAAATATATTAACTATTGATTGCAGCTGCAACACTGTAGTCAGCGGCTGGACGTGTGGGCGTATCCCAGCCACACCAACCATCTGGACGGTCTGTGTGGTCACTACAACTTCTACACGGACGATGACTTCACCAGCAGGAACAACGTCGTCCACACTCTCCAGTCCTGGCCTCTGGCGTTCCCAGAGTCGTGGAGGGTGAGCCGCTTGCGCCTTCATTCTCCTGATATACTTGGATAGCATGTATTGAATAGCTTGTGCCATGAATTTGTAAAGTGGCTTACAATGCTAAAGTTAATTTGGCTTCAGATTTTGCCAGTTTAGAAAGATTTAAATGTGGAGCTTGACGCATTAATCGGGTGGTTTTTTAAACTTTCAGACCTTTAATTTCAGACCTTTAATTTCAGACGAAAGATCAAACGGATCGTAGGTGTTTCCAGTGTGTGGGCTGTGAAAAAGAAACTGCAGTAAGTAGCCTAAATCTATCGTGAATTCTAGTGACAATTTTTTTTTAAATGCCTTTTATACCAAAATATCTAATTTAGGGAAATATTTGGTTAATATTTACTGTAGTTAATTATGGAATTAGATCACAATGAATCTGACAATTCGTTCATAAATATAAAGCCTTGGAAAATCTAATAAGCTTGTTTCAAACTTATTCCCACATACTGTGAAGTTGTCAACTTTAAAATATCTTGACTTGAATGCCTGACAAGACTGTTAAACTTTAATCTTTTTCCTCCTGACGCAGCTGAACCCCTGCAAGTCTCCTTTGCTACAGGACGTGGTCTTGTGCCGCAGGTTGCTCCATCCAATCATCGGCAGGGACAAAGACCTGCAGTCTCACGCGGGTAGGTCCCAGCTAACACCCCCCCCCCTCGACCTGCTTGGTCTATAAACTCTATATGTAAACCTTTTTAATATGCTCTTGTGAACCAGAGTACCCGAATTTAGGTAGAATCTGCGCGAACTTTGGCAGACATTCTGGCAGAGAGTTGGTAACTTGTAAACTAGTAATTTTAGCATTGCTTCCTAAAACTTCTTTCCTTTCTAGATACAATTTTATTTGTAAAGTAACAAAGGGAAGAATGTGGGTGTAAGGTGGTATCTTGCAGCAAGAATTGACAAGAGGTTCCTTAGAGACGTGTGCGTGGGACGTGTGCATGATGCGGGGAGCAGGAGCCACGGAGAGGGAGCTGGCAGACTGGCTGCTCCAGCTCCAGATTATCCTCCAGCAGACTAAACTCATTCTCGCCAGGACACTGGGTAAGTTTACATTTATTATTGGATATTTGGCTTTAATTCTGGCAATGATGGTTCATACTTTAGTTCAGCCTCTTAGCTTCGATAAAAGTTGTAAGAATTTTTTTTAGCAATTCTAAAATTAATGCATACTGATAACCTACGCTAGGGAATATAATTATTATACTAGATTTTTGACGAGGCTTTAGATTTCTAGAACTATGCTAACGTCTACATAATTTTATCCTCCCTGAAAGTTGAAACTTCTATACTTGTACAAGCTGGCAATTTCTATTTTACTACACGTGGACGAAAGAACGTGCCAGCCAAAAAATGCTTAACATAGAAATTAAAAAAAAAAAAACCTTGGTAACCCTAATGACGGAGTGTTCCTGGGCTGGAGCTGTGGTGTTTGTTTATCGCAGATGTAACGATAGCCTTTAACTGTAACTTGGACAATCGGGCAGAAGGTTGGTACAACACGCCGCCGCCTCGCGGGGGGAAGTAGTTTGTGTGACAAGGTTCGATGGCCATAAAAGAGCAGAGATGAAATTTATTCCCTTTACGAGCCCCGTGCTTGCTATTGTCGACACTGCTTAGCTGGCATAGTATCATAGTAGCTGGCCATAGTACACATTTCTACATTGGTAGCCTTTCTGCTTACCGGCCTGCTAAATGTTCCTAGATACTAGTGATTATATATGTTTGCTGCTTAATGTGAACGAACAACCAGATTTGTGGGTTATCTTGAAGTAACACGGTGCACCCACACTGACGGGGGGGGGGGGGGGGAATGTCTCCAGGTAGTGCAGATTAGTGTACACGCGGCCTTTAAGATGTAGGCTGTGGCATAATTGTAATTCCTTTACATTTCTTCAGATTCCTGGGTTCCCAGCCCCGTTCCTCCGGCGACTACCGGCTCCTGCGTGCCAGGGTCACGCTGGCAGGAGGACTGCAACACCTGCAGCTGCGTCACCGCTTCATATTCCAATGCAGTTGTGTGCACACTAATAAACTGTGGAGAAGGCAAGTTCTTTTGACATTTTTTTTCTGGCGCAAAAGTTGAATAATCATGACAAGTTGTCATTACTTCGGTAAGTTTTAATCTGGAATTACTTTTGCAACACTTTAAAAGTACTTGTTCATATATAGATTATTAAACTACTACTGTAACCACTTTCAAAACTAGCAATCGCAAGTTTTTTTTTTTTTTTTTTTTTAAGGGGGGGGGGGGGGGGATCCGGCTGCGCCAAGATCTTACACCCCCCCCCTCCCCTTTTTCCCCTTGGCATTAAAGTTGCTTTTCTGACTGTGCCAGACACTTTGTTAACGCTTGCGTCAACAAGGTTTTTGAAAAGTTTTGCAACATTACAATTATTAAATTGTAAACGCTTCTCCTACAGGTTACGTACCGGAGGTTGGGGTGGACTCGTGCACGGACGGGTCCATGTGGATGGTAGACAAGTGTAACTGGTGTGAGTGTGTCCGTGGCGGCTCCATCTGTACCTTCACACCCTGTGACACCGCCACCTACACCCCGCGCGTGACTAAGCTCTTCTCCACTACACCCACCAGTACAGTGCACACTACACCCGCCTACACTGCGCCATCCTATACTAAGCCCACCTACACTGCGCCATCCTATACTAAGCCTACCTACACTGCGCCAACTTATACTACACCCACCTACAAGGCGCCAACTTATACCAAGCCTACCTACACTGTGCCAACTTATACTACACCCACCTACACTGTGCCAACTTATACTACACCCACCTACACTGTGCCAACTTATACTACACCCACCTACACTGTGCCAACTTATACTACACCCACCTACACTGTGCCAACTTATACTACACCCACCTACACTGTGCCAACTTATACTACACCCACCTACACTGTGCCAACTTATACTACACCCACCTACAAGGCGCCAACTTATACCAAGCCCACCTACACGGAGCCAACTTATACCAAGCCCACCTACACTGTGCCAACTTATACTACACCCACCTACAAGGCGCCAACTTATACCAAGCCCACCTACACGGAGCCAACTTATACCAAGCCCACCTACACTGTTCCAACTTATACTACACCCACCTACAAGGCGCCAACTTATACTACACCCACCTACAAGGCGCCAACTTATACCAAGCCTACCTACACGGAGCCAACTTATACCAAGCCCACCTACACTGTGCCAACTTATACCAATCCCACCTACACGGAGCCAACTTATACCAAGCCTAACTACACGGAGCCAACTTATACCAATCCCACCTACACGGAGCCAACTTATACCAAGCCCACCTACACGGAGCCAACTTATACCAAGCCCACCTACACGGAGCCAACTTATACCAAGCCCACCTACACTGTGCCAACTTATACTACACCCACCTACAAGGCGCCAACTTATACTACACCCACCTACACGGAGCCAACTTATACCAAGCCCACCTACACTGTGCCAACTTATACTACACCCACCTACAAGGCGCCAACTTATACTACACCCACCTACACGGAGCCAACTTATACCAATCCCACCTACACGGAGCCAACTTATACCAATCCCACCTACACGGAGCCAACTTATACCAATCCCACCTACACGGAGCCAACTTATACCAATCCCACCTACACGGAGCCAACTCATACCAAGCCCACCTACACGGAGCCAACTTATACTACACCCACCTACAAGGCGCCAACTTATACTACACCCACCTACAAGGCGCCAACTTATACCAAGCCTACCTACACGGAGCCAACTTATACCAATCCCACCTACACGGAGCCAACTTATACCAAGCCTACCTACACGGAGCCAACTTATACCAATCCCACCTACACGGAGCCAACTTATACCAATCCCACCTACACGGAGCCAACTTATACCAATCCCACCTACACGGAGCCAACTTATACTACACCCACCTACAAGGCGCCAACTTATACCAAGCCTACCTACACGGAGCCAACTTATACTACACCCACCTACACTGTGTCAATTTATACTACACCCACCTACAAGGCGCCAACTTATACTACACCCACCTACAAGGCGCCAACTTATACCAAGCCTACCTACACGGAGCCAACTTATACCAATCCCACCTACACGGAGCCAACTTATACCAAGCCTACCTACACGGAGTCAACTTATACCAATCCCACCTACACGGAGCCAACTTATACCACGCCCACCTACACGGCGCCAATTTATACTGTACCCACGTACACGGAGCTTTCCTATACTGTACCCACGTACACGGAGCTTTCCTATACTGTACCCACGTACACGGAGCTTTCCTATACTGTACCCACGTACACGGAGCTTTCCTATACTGTACCCACCTACACGGAGCTTTCCTATACTGTACCCACGTACACGGAGCTTTCCTATACTGTACCCACGTACACGGAGCTTTCCTATACTGTACCCACCTACGTTACACACAGTTCTACACTCTACCATCTTCAGCACACTACTACTCCCATGTACACTACGGCCGTCAGCACTCACACCACCTCACACTAACACACAACACGGTTCTACACGTGATACACCGCCCCCACACCTGTCCACCCCTACCGGGTCCTAACTGATGTACTCACAAGCTGGCCAGGCGCCGATACTGTTCCTGCGGGTGTGTTCCGTGCCCTGCTAGGCTACCTATCGCGTGAGAGCGCAACCATTCGGAAACTGATCGGAATAAATTTGTTTGTAAAATTGGAAGCTTTAAGAATTCTTAGGCGATTACCGGAATCTTAATGTTGCAGTTTGATGCTTGTACTAGTGACGTAAATTTGTTAATGTATGAAGAGTACTAAAATAGTTAAATAAATTTTTAAACTTGTTTAGCGTTTCCTTGTTTAGGAAGACTGCAGGTAAAAAAAAAAAAAAAAAAAAAAAAAAAAAAGTATCTTCAATGAAGTAAGCACTTTTTACGTGCTAATACTTCTTGCGGATATCTCCCCTTCATGCACCGCTTGCTCTATAGGCACAAGCACGATGAACCATAATTCCATGACTACTAAACATTCAAGTGAAGGCTCGTGATGTCAGGAGTTGTCAAGATACTAGTTCTCAAAGCAGCCAAAACTTGCTTGAGTAACGCCCCCTCCCCGCTCAGCTCGTTGTCGCCGTGTGGGGGCTTCGTGGGCGGCTGCCGGAGTGTGATGCTCCTTGGGACAGTCCTCTGTCCTTTTCTAGCCTTGTGCTCCTGCTGCCGTCCTCTCCAATTCTGCTGGGCACCTTTTTCCTTTTCCCCCCTCCCCGCTCAGCTCGTTGTCCGTTTTAGTGGGCGGCTGCCGGAGTGTGATGCTCCTTGGGACAGTCCTCTGTCCTTTTCTAGCCTTGTGCTCCTGCTGCCGTCCTCTCCAATTCTGCTGGGCACCTTTTCTTTTTCCTTCTGTTTCGTTTTTCTCCCCCCTCTTCTCCTATCTGCTTGCCGTTTCCTGCCGACCTTTTGCTCGTTCTGGTTCTTCCCTTGGACTTCTTCTATTTTGACGCCCGGGTGCTTGAGGAGGCATACTCTTGCACCCGTAGAACTGCAGTACCCGACGTCGAGAGCGAGGGGAACCTTTTATTGTCAATCCCCACTTCGTCACTGAACCTGATCTCGACGGACTGTCGGTTTCTTAAGGTGGCGTTTGTGGGGCGTATACTCACGACGCACCCCTAGGAGGCCCCGACAAGATCGGCGATAGCTTCTTGTTGGGTGTCCTGCCTCTAATTGTGGCTCCATGGTGGGTGTGGGGGCACATTCGTGAATGAATTCTTCTTTTCGTCAAGATGATAACCCCTGTTTCGGCTGCTTCTGGCTTACCTTCTCAGGCTCGTGGGGTGGGCGACCAAGCCCCCGAGTCGGTCCGTATTGGAAGACCGGGCTCTGTAGCCTCCGCTGCATTGGGCCCCGACCTTGCTCCTCCTTTGGCCTCTCTGACTCCTTCCCCTGGCTCCCCTCCCTCCTCTGTGGTTGGGTCGAGCCCCAAGCCCCCAGTGGTGACTACCTCGTCCCCTGGCGCGGCTCCTTCTCTAGTTGTAACTACTGCGCCTTTTAACCCCTCTCTCTCTGGGGGTTCTCACCGCCGTCCTCGTCACGGCCGCCCTCGCTCGATTCCTTCCAGTTCTGCTACCTATCAAGCCTTGTTTGGTCCCGCTTCGTGGGCCAAATATTTTGATCTCCTCCCTCTTGATTCTGCGCCTCCTGACGATTTCTCCCTCCATCGACATCTCATTGATTCCGTGGATGCCTCCATTACTTTCAACCCCACTCGTCTCGGTACACGTGTCGTTGCTGCTCCTTCTCAGGATGCTGCTTCCCGCTTGGCTGCCTTATCCTGCCTTGGCGAGACCCCCGTTCGGGTCTCGAAGAACGCTCAGTTGAATGCCAGTGTTGGCACTATTTTGCTCCCGCCCCATGTTGCGACCGGTGTTCGGGACCTGCGCGACTGCCACGACGATATTCGACATATCCTCGCTGCCCAGGGCCATTCTATTCTCCAGGTGGACACGTTTACTCGTCCCCCTCGTGGTAGTCGCCGTCAACCCCTCCGGGTTGTGAAGATTACCTTTGATGGTAGGACCCTTCCACCCTCTGTCATTCTTGCTGGTGCCAGGTGCTCTGTCCAGGAGTACATTCCTTCTCCTCGGCTCTGCAACAAGTGCTGGAGGTTTGGGCATGGTGCCCTCCGCTGCTCCGGGACTGTCTCTCTCTGTCCTTTGTGTGGTGGCGAAGGTCACTCTAAGTCGGAGTGCGCTTCTCCCCAGGCTCGTTGCCTCAACTGCGGTGAGGCCCATCCTACCTTCTCCCGTGCGTGTGTCCATTACAAGCTTGAGGCAGCCGTCCTCAACTTGAAGCACCGGGAGCGTTTATCTTTTCCTGAGGCGAGGCGCCAGGTTCGCCGGCTCCCGCCTTATGCTAATATCTCTTATGCTCGCGTGTTGCGCTCTTCCTCTCCTCGTCCTTCCCGCCTTCCTCAGACTCACAACCGTTTCCGGGCCTTGGACCCTGATGCGCCCACTGCCCCCTCCTCTGTCCCTTTGGGTTCTCTCCCGAAGGATCCTCCTCCTGGTCCTCTGTCTGGGGTTCCCCTTCCTTCTACCCGGTCTGTCGTGTCTTCTGTGTCTTCTTCCTCGTCCCCCTCCGATCCTCCTTCCCATCCTCTTCCTCCATCTATCGGCTCTCCCCGCCGCCTGTCGGTGCGGGCGGATGTCCATCGCTCTCCTAACGGCCGTCGTGTGTGCTCTCGTTCGGCTTCTCCTGTTGAGACACTGGAATCCGTTGCCCGGTACGTAGTTGCTGGGACACCGGTCTCTTTAAGTCAGAAGCGTAAGCCTGGCTCCTCTCCTTCCTCTTCCCCGGCGGGTAAGAAGGCTTCGCTTTCTTCCTCAGCTCCTCCTTCTGGCTCTGTTGCTCCTTCCCCTCCCGTTTCAGTGCTTGCGCCCCCTGTTCCTGCTATGGAGGTTTCTTTGGCCCCTGCTTCCCTTTCGGTTGCTGCTCTTGCTGGGGTGCGCTCCCCTCTTTCTACTCCCCCTCTTCCTGCTGCTGTCCTTGACTGCTCCTCTCCGTTGTCTCCTCCTCTTCCTCCTCCTCCTCCTCCGGACCCTGCCCGCCCACCTCTGATCTGTTCTCCCGTTTCCTTCCCTCCGTCTTTGCTCAGTTTACCCATGCCCCCTAACCCTGACTTTGCTGACCCTGATCCCGACCCTGATATTCTTTAACGTGCTCTGTTGCTCTTTCGCCTTTGTTTCTTCCTTGTTCTCTGTTTTTGTCCTTTCTCTTCTCGTCGTTGTCCATTCTTCAATGGAACGTTCGAGGTTATTACGCCAATTTCCTCGAACTCCAACTTCTGATTTCGCGGTTTTCGCCCCTTTGTGTCTGTCTCCAGGAGCCGATGCTTGGTGCTCGTCCTGGTCGTTTTCGTGGCTATTCCTTTCTCTCCCCCCCCCCCCCCCAGCCATTGCTGGGGCTTCTAATTCTTCTGCTCTCTTGATTCGGGCTGATGTTCCCTTTGTTCCTTTACTTTTTCCTTCGCCTCTCCATTGTTCTGCTGCTCGTATCTTTGTGGGGAAATGGTACACAGTTTGTTCCATTTATCTCCCCCCGAGTGTCCCGCTCTCTCTTCCTGATTTGAAACACCTCCTAGACTCCTTGCCGGAGCCTGTGCTCCTGCTGGGTGACTTCAATTGTCGTCATTCTCTTTGGGGTGACGTTCTGACGAATACCCGGGGTCGCCTCCTTGAGCCGTTTCTCCTCTCTTCTTCCCTGTCTCTTCTGAATTCTGGTGAGCCCACTCATTTGGACTCTCGGACTCGCACCCTTTCTTGTCTTGATCTTTCTCTCTGCTCTTCTTCTCTTTACTTAGATTTCACGTGGCAGGTTCTTGATGACCTCCATGGAAGTGATCATTTCCCCATCCTTGTTTCCTTTTTCTCTTTTCGCCCTTCCCTCTCTTTCCCTAGGTGGCAGTTTGCTAAGGCGGACTGGACCCTATTTTCCCTCAGTGCTACTCTCTCTGACCTCTCCCTTCTGCCTCTCTCTCGCGCTCTCCTCCTTTTTCATGACACTGTCTTCAACGCTGCCCTCCGCTCTATTCCTCGCTCTTCCTCTCGGGGTCCACGGAAGTGCGTTCCCTGGTGGAATGCGGACTGTGCTCGGGCTGTCCGCTGTAAGCGTGCAGCCTGGAAGAGGCACCGCCGTAGGCAGACGACCGATTCTTTTCTTTTCTTTCGGAAAGCGAGTGCGGTGGCCCGTAGGGCCATCCGTACGGCTAAACGTGAATGTTGGGCATCTTATGTCTCGACAATTACGTCCGAAACCCCTCTGGCCCAGATCTGGAAGCGTATCCGCAAGATAGCGGGTAAGTTCGTTCCCGATGTTTCACCGGTCCTTCACCTCCATGATACTCTTGTGGCGGACCCGTTGCAGGTCGCTTCCGAACTGGGTTCCCACTTTTCTTCTGTTAGCTCTGGTCTTCATCTTCCCCAATCTTTCCTTCTTCGTAAACCTGTCCTTGAGTCTCGTCCTTTAGATTTCTGCACTCATCTTCAGCTTCCCTATAATGATCCCTTCTCTCTCTCTGAACTTCGTTCTGCCCTGGCCCTCTGCGGTTCTACGGCGGCGGGCTCCGATGGTATTCATTATGAGATGCTTCGCCATCTCCCTCCGAGCACGTCTCAGTATTTACTGAGTCTGTATAATCGGATCTGGGAGTCGTCGTCAGTCCCTGAGGACTGGCTCGATGCCGTTGTCCTCCCTGTTCGCAAACCGGGGTCTCTGGGTACTTCCCCTAAGGACTTTCGCCCTATTGCTCTCACAAGTTGTGTCTGCAAACTCTTTGAACGTATGGTTAACGTTCGTCTGATGTGGTTCCTGGAACACCATCACCTCCTCTCCCCTTCTCAATTTGGTTTCCGCAAGTGCCGCAGCACGACAGATGTCCTGGTGAACTTGGAGGTCTATATTCGTACTGCTTTTGCTGCGAAGACCTCCGTTGTTGCCGTCCTTTTTGACCTAGAAAAGGCTTACGA